TTTTTTTTTTTTTTTTTTTTTTTTTTTTTTTTTTTTTTTTTTTTTTTTTTTTTTTTTTTTTTGTAAACTAATAAATAATATATTGTGTGAGGTAATTTTACCATGAATGAATTTTAATTTTTACTAATAATGGGAGTATATTGACAAGAATTTAAATATAAAAGATTGATTTGAAATTTTAAAAGAAGAAAAAAAAAAAATACGCGTGTCCTAATCAGAATAATGCAGATACACGTTCTAATCATGCACGACGTGGGCTCCGAAATTAACGAAAATTTTGGGGTGAACTTGGTAAAAATATATGAAAACAAGGACTGAATTGAAATTGTTGCAAGAAAACAAATCCATTCGCGGGGTGTCATTTAGCCAGCGAAACCGGCCAGATAAAAGTCGCAAGAAATGGCTGGTAGTGGTAGTCAATGGAGAAGAAATCGTGCTGATTTGGGCTGTTTCTCCAATTTCCTTCAACGTTCATTCTGTAAGTAACCCCACATTCTTCCTCGGTTCTTCCGTGTTTGATTCCTCTGATTCTCTAATTTAATCGACTGCTTCATTGTGGATTGAGCTTGATTTTTATTTTCAGTTGATTGTTTAGGAAATGGCTTCGGATCCTAAGGTTTTCGTCTTCGACGAAGTGGCTAAACACAATCACCAGCAGGATTGTTGGGTTATAATCTCTGGAAAGGTCTGATTTAACAATCTCTCTTCTGATCTTCATTTTGTGAAATTGTTTGTTCAGAACTCAAATCGTATTTGCCAATGGAACAGTACACTTAATTGCGATCCGATAGGTGGATGGGAGATTAGGCCTATTTGTTTCTTGATCTTTCTCCTAACAATCTTTGAACTCATTACCCGAGAAACGACAGGAACTTGTTCTTCATCTTTTCTTCTGATGTGAAATCAGTTGTTGAGGATTAAAACATAAATCCTATGCATGTGTGAGACGTATTTCGTGGAATTCATTTACCAAGCACTTGTTCAAGAGGAAAAACTCTGGTATTGTAGTTTGCAATGAATCTAAGCTCCAACTTTCATCAAAGAAGAATTTTAGGCCTCACAGTTCTTTTAAGTTTAACAACATAGGAAGGAGATTTGATGTCCTCACTTAATCACATTTTCTCTCCCTTAAAACACCGATTTGGCCTCAAACATTCCATTTGCTCGAAATTTGCAATTTAAACAACCATGCTCGTGAAATTCACTAATTCAACCACAAAACCGTGCAAAATCTTAGTCCTGGTAACAACAGATTATGTGTACTATCAGTTATCTCAGTATTCTTCTCCTAGATATACCTAAAATAAGACGCTTTCAATTTGGGTGATAAGATTTGTATTTTTTCTATCCTCTTCCTTTCTATCGTTGTTGTGTTTCGTTGCCTTTCCCCAAAGTAGTTTTTGTGATCCATGTTAGGTGTATGATGTCACCTCCCTTCTAGAAGAGCATCCTGGAGGTGATGAAGTCTTGCTGTTAGCTACTGGTAAGTCGAACTTGATAACTTGAATGTGTAACTGCGTCAGAGCAAATGGAAGAATATGATCACACCACGTTATGAATGATTGGAGAAACAATCTTGAATGTGTGCAGAAAGAGATGCCACTGATGATTTTGAAGAAGTGGGTCACAGTTTAACTGCGTCAGAGCAAATGGAAGAATATTATGTTGGTAATCTGGACATGGCTACCCTTCCAAAGGCAGTTGCCAATCGACCACCAGCACCCCAATCGGGGACAGCGACAACAGCAGCAGCAAAACCAACAGCAGCAGCACCAACAACAACGTCATCAGCTGAATCTCCAGGATCTTTGATAAAAGTATTTCAAGTTCTGATTCCCCTGCTGATTTTGGGTATTGCATTTTATATGCAATACTATGGCAAGAAACAGTAAGCGAAATTTGTCCAACCATAGATGCCTTGAGTTTTGCAATAAGCCAGAGCTGTGTAGTAGAAATTCTATCATGTTCTGTCGAAGACATTCTTTGTTATCTATCTAGGTTTCTCGGCCACAGCCTTCTTGGTAATATCTGAGAAGGGAATTTTCATTTGCCTCTTCTTCATTTCTTATCCTGTTTTCTGTCTTTTGTTCTACAATATTCAACTTTGTAAATAAATAATCATGATTATTTCTAAAATACTTATTTCTCGTTTTAACTCCTGATATATTGGTCAGAGAAGTTCTAAACATAAGATCTATAGTTTTAGCTGATTAAAGCAGTGAAGGCTGAAACCTACGGACACCAACAAATGTAGCTCTGGAAACGAAGGGCGCAGAGATAGATGAACTGAAAGAAGATCAAAATTACTAATGATAAGCAAAAGGTTAAGAAGATTAAAATTTCCATCTACAACATACTTGAAGTTCAAGTCTCATATATCGGCCAACTGTTCTTGCTGACATAACGATCCCCGAACGAGCGAAGGGCCAGACGTCTGTGGTGAGACCCCAAGGACTAGTCCATCAATATCAATGGGAAGAAGAAGTTTCCGCCATGAACATCCGGTAGAGATTGCATCTGGAGGTTGAACTACTGTTAAATGACCGTTACTCTTATGCAACATTCCCATTACAGACACCAAGCTCCCTTCCTGAACATATCTGCTAAAATCACATGGAATTAGCTACTGAAATTACGGCCAAACATAGTCAAACAAACAGGTGCTATCACGACAAGCGGTTACCCCTCTTCAAGTCGAAGCACTCGAGCTTCGGTAGAAAGGTTTCGGTCTCTCAGCCATTTTCTCAAGGAAGAAGACAGAATCTTACGGTGTCTGGTAGTATTAACAAGCTTGCTCTCAATAATAAGAGGAACCAGTTTACTACCTGGGCCAGCCTGAACCATAGCTCTAATGCCACTTTTTCTATCAGTTATGTAGAAATCCGTGGAGAACCTCTGCTAGGTAGAAATACCAGCACTGCGGTATTAATAATCTTAAACGCATACCCATCATAACAAAAACTGATATCAAGGACAAATAAAAATCCCAAAATGAGCAGATAAGGATGTCAAGATAATGAATACAACTGGAGACATTTGAACCATAAAGAAAAAATGGAGCTAAATGACAGTTATTTCACTTCATGCAGTAGCTTCCAAACAACATAAAGTGACATTGTTGCAAGAAAGCAATAGAAGCAAAGAAACGAAACGTTTGTTGGGAGTGGAATTTGCATACCTCACTGTATGCTAACTTCCAACCACAGTAAGGTTGGGTGACCTTTTGAAAAACCAGAGACATTCCTCTATATTCATATAGAGAAGTAGAAGCATATATACACCCACTAGCCTTTTCATAGGATGATTCAAGAGAGACACTCCCGCACGAAGCAAACTGAATATGAAACAGCAAACAACATTAATCCTCCAATTCATCTGCAGGGTACTTAAGAACAACAATAAATGAAACCCCAAACAGCTAACATCAACTATTTAAATGGTTTGAGTTTCCAAAATGTTAATGTCACAAGCAAACATTTTACAATTATCAACTCAACGGAAACATTTTCAGAACCTCTCATACGAATTGCCGAAAGGGAAAACAAAAAAATGCAGAAACAAATCACACCCATAAGCGGTGGCTATTGGAAAGAGAAAATACAACCTACTCACGAAAATCTGATAACCCATTAAGCTGAAAAGAGCGAAGAAAGTAGAGAAGGAATACCCCTGTAATCTTAACGAGTTGACCTTCGCAGGCAAGTGTGAGGTCGGAGTCGGGAAAAGAGTGAAGAAATGAGAGCATTGCAGCTTTGGAGGAGAAGTAGAGGCTATTCCAGAGGGCGAAAGCAGAGAGAAAGATGGCTAGAAGGAGGATAGAGACGAAGAAGAAGGCGTTGTGAACCACGGCGAGGACGAAAATGGAGACGGAAAATCCCAAAATGAAAAGGGGTATGAGAATGTAGAGAGCGGCGGAGGGAATGGGGTTGCAAGCGGTGTAATGGTGGTGTTTTACGGTGGAAGCTGCAATGGAGAGGTCGCTCATTACTCGCTCGTCTGTCGTCTCTGTGCAAGAGAATCAGCCGAAGCGAGGGGCAGTGCGGTTAATTGGTACCATAGTCAAACGGCTTCATTGTTTTTTCTTTTTCTCTTTTTCATTTTTTTTTTTATTTAAATTAACTATTTCTCTATTTCTTTATTTCATTAAATTACCTTTTTGGTCTTAGAGGCAACTTACATAATTGTCTATGAAAATATGGAAAAACTTTACAATCTCTCGAAATTCATTTTAAAAAGTAAAATAAGTACCGCCAAATAATTGAGTATTTCTGATTTTTTTTAATTGTCGATTTGGAATCTGGCAATGATCGTCTGCGTTAGGTTCAGAACCGCGCGTTTAAATTGCCAATTCCAGCGGGAAATCGTGGAGCTTCGGCCTCATGTTTCTAAGATCCAAAGAACAGAAGCTCCCAATGCCAAAGGTTTGATCCTCCTCCTCTTCCGACATTTTCAAATTCAGTTCAAGTTTTATTATCATGAAATTTCTTTAAGGAATACCGATTAAGTTATGCTTACCTGTTGTTATTGCGTTGGTTTTACTTTGCATTTTCTTTGAAACTTAGCAAGATAGAGTATGATTTAAGTAAACAAATAACGATGTAGGTTGGGATTCGACATATAGAATTTGGAGACTCGAATCTAGGCCGTGAAACTGGCATTTAATTCGTCCTAGAATTGAACTCGCTATTGCGATAAATGCTGCCTTCATTGAGTTTCTCCGTGAACCCTAGAAATTATTGTGAGCACTGAGCGTTCATAAAAGTTTGATCTAGTACAGGCGGTGAGCAGAGCACTTAATGTTAAGGGGGGAGACCACTTGTTTTCAAGCGCGAGTTCTTTTCCACTCGGTTAATGTTATTAAAAAGAAAATGAAACTTAATTTTCAAGGTCATAAAAATTTTGTTTCAAAATCTTACTTCTGCCATTGGCTTTCAAGAACAAGAGTTATTATGTTCTTATCAAGTAATTCTGTAAAACTTCCCTTCTTTTCTGTAGTTAACATGAACTTAGCTAGTTGAAATTGAAGAAAGGGGACGAATGTGCTTTTAATCGAAGAAAAATGTTGCCAGTGGATAAATCGTGTCTGCTCATAAATAATAGTTGATGTAGATGGAAGGATGAAGTGGGACTGGTCAATAAATTTGAGGGCTAGAACAGGATTCAGAAATTGGATGAAGTGTGTACTAGCAAAATGATGAAGTACAGGGCTCATTTTTTCATTTTGTTGATAGAAAACAAGACTTCAAATTCATGATGTAAAGTTTTATATCAACCATTCGCTGATTAGCATTCTCAAGCCTTCTCCGACTAGGATTTTTTGAGGGTTAGTTTATCTAAGCCTTTTAGTTTTTAGGTGGCCGAATATGAAGTTACATTGACTTGCTATTACTGGTTACGTTTTAGATGATGTTTAGCATATCTTACATGATTAAAAGATCTTCTGAAGAACCTACGATGAAAAAGATGGACATCTTCTAGCTATTTTCAGCATAGGAATAATCTCCATGATATCAAATTCGACCATTAAAATCCTAGAGTTTACTGACATTATTCCTTTGGTTTTCTTATGTGCTGGGTTAAATCTTTCGTGAGATGACACTAATACCAAAGAAGCACCACAAACCTGAGAATCTTTGTGTAAAGTGAGCACCACTTCTAGTTCATAACTGAGCATATGAAGATAGAGTTGCATAGTCACCCCCCATCCCTATCCCCAACCAACCAACAACGAAAAGGGAAGAGAAAAAAGAAAAGAAAACAGAAGAAGAAAGGAACTCTCACACACTGCAAGCACTCCAGACTGCACCCCTGTCTGCATATGAGCATATTGTTTCAGTTTTCCAAGGCAGCACTCTTTGCCGGTGGTATTTCCTAGCGTTGCTCACCGAATTTTTTGGTTATACAAAGAACATTTTCTGACTTCCATCTGAAGTTATGGTGAATTTTGGAGCATCAGTGCTTGAAACAACCACATTACAATCATTGCTATCCTTGATAGAAGACGTTATGCTCTGAACTGTTCCTCATCCTTTGAGCCGAAATCATTGCTAGGATGCTCTATTTAAAAAAAAAAGATTGGAATTTTATTTGTTTACAAATCCTTTATGGTTTTTTTTTTTTTTTTTTTTTGTGTTTCTACTTTTCACGACCAGAAGTCCCACCACTGGCCATTGGTATTGGACTGACTGAAAAGCCCTTCAGACTCTAAATTGCTCCAATTTGGTGTTGATATCAAGGAGCCCTGAGCAGGTTCCCTGAACTGGGGCTCTTCTAATCCAAGATAGGCTTCCTTTGTGCCACTACCATAGTTGGAAAGAACCTCTAGTTCATGTTCTGATTTCTCCTCAGCTGACACACAAGGTTTTACTTCAGACTCATACTTTGTTCTGTGGCCATTCTCAGACTTGCCATCAATAGTTTCTAAGGAGAGACCTCCCCTGCAGCTCTCAGTTTCCTCCATGGACCTCTGCACGAGATCATTTAGCTTCTGCAACTGGCCAAAGTAAAGAAATAACAATGATTAGCAAAAACTAGAAACGGACGGTGTTTTCCTATAGAAACAAAGAACAAATACCTGTATAGCCAAAGCTTGCTTTTCCTTCTTAAGAGCTTCAAACCGGGAAACTAGAGTGTTGTAATTAGCTCGTAAAACGCTGTAGTCTTGTTCAAGCTGCTTTGACTTCCATCTAGCTCTCTTGTTTTGAAACCATATTGCAACCTGGCGTGGATGCAACCCCAGCTCTCCCGCTAGCTGCAACTTCTTTCTGGGCTCAAGCCTTGACTCAGACTCGAAAATTGACTCCAATGATTTGATCTGCTCTTCACTGAACCTTCTTCTGTTCATGCCTTTTTTTCTCATGCCAAAAGCCTCTGCCATGGATTCTGGAGGAGAATATTCGGCATCATCATCATTTAGCATGCTGCTTAAGATTCAATTTGGACACCACAAGGCTTTATTCCAAAACCAGGTGTTAGGAGAGTGAATGATTTGCAATATCTCTAATATATTTGCTCACTTATTTTATGCATCATTTATATCCAAGTCTGGTGGGGTCCTTGATAGAAAGAGAGAATTTCTTTCTTGGCTGGGGAAGGTTATTATTTTCTCCTCTGTTTCGGATAATTCCATTGGCATTTGCTTTACTTCCTCGGATTTTTTTTTTTACTTTTTTTTGTGTATTCAGGAAAAAAGAAAAAGTATCGTATTTTATGATTTGTTTTTCTTTTTTGTAATAGGATCCGAGTAGCCTTGAGAATGTAATTAGATGTATATTACAAGTATTTTGTTTTTCTAATTTGTTTCAGAATATATTGTGCATAGTTTTTAATTAAAAGTATTTACCAATCTTTTTACGTTATTTGACTATACAGTTGAAGCCATGGCGTAGACCAGACATTGAGACCGCTTGAGGCATGGGGAAAATGATGAGGTACTTGATACTTCATAGCTTAATCTTGTTTTACGGGTTCATTTAGAGCCCCTTTAATACCTAATTAGTTTTTCTTTTAGTTTAGGTTTTAATTTTTTGTTTTTTTAAAAAAAGGAAAGTTCATTTGATAAGTAATTTAGTTTTTGTATTTAAAATTTTAAAAACTTTTTTTTGACTCCTAGAAATCTTGAAATTAGTGTAATTTACTGGAACAAAATATTTTGTGTGTAATTTTAGAGATGACAGACCTAAAGAGTGTATATTGTATTGAATTAGTAACAAAATTACTCAATTATCCATACTCCATATTATAAAAACATATATATATAGTAAAAAATTGATGATAAATTTTAAGCATTAAACATACTTGATATGGTGGTAAGGCTTGTTTTTTATGTTTTTATTTTTTATTTTTAATAACAGTTTTACAATTTGTGATATTCCTACTTCTTTTGTTTAAAAAAAAATTGTTGTGAAAAGCTATAAGAAATTTAACAAAGGTAGTCATTGCTACATTTATTTAAGTCGACCAAATTGAAATTCACAGTGACAATTGACATTTTATATTAAATTGAGGGGGAAATAATTAGGATGTTGGACAGAAAAAAAAAATTGTGAACCAAACTAGGACTCTGCCACACCCGGTTATCCCATTTTTTTAAAATATTATTATTATTAAACAAACATAATATTTAAATTGGCAGTTTTATTATTTAACAACTTGATTAATTTGATATGTTTGAACCATATAATTGAATATTTGGTCGACAAAAATTGACAATTAGATAATTTGATAGGTTAATTATTATTATTATTACTATTGTTTTTTTATTATTATATTAGGAGGCTCAAGAAGTTTCTCTTTAAATGAGAATTTTTCGGTGAAATACTAAAAATTAACTATTTAATTTTCTTTTTAAAAAAATCTTCCCATACATTTAAAAAAAAAAAAACAGGAATTGATTCTATATAGTGAACTTGATCCCTCTAAATTTGAGAACGAAAAATAAAAAAGAAACCGTTTAAAAAAATTACCAGTTTTAGGAAATAAAAAAATCAAAACACTTAAGAGTAATAAATGAACAAAGATTTCTTGTGATTTCAAAATGATAAAATAAGTATTTTATGATTAATACTAAATTATTAAATATATTAGTATATCAATAATTTTTGTCAATCTTATTGATTTAAGTCTGGTCCATATCTGCATAATAGTTAATACCAAATACATGAATCATGTCCCTTCCATCACACTCATATTTTAATATTAATGTTTTGACATACTTTTTATTTAGAAAATTTTAATAATTTAAAAATCTGTTCTGGAGTTTTGTAGTTTATTTGAAAAATAAACCAAGAATATTGTGGGGATTAGGTTGAGTCACCGTAGCATGGGACCCCACTTTAGCTTTCTTTATTTCCTTAAAATTCAAAAACCCTTTTTTTAAAATTTTTTTATTTTTTTATTTTTTGCAAATAAAAAATTAGCAACCAATAAGATAAGTTGCCCAAGGACAAGTACCCCTTACCTGTCACACGACAGCCAATGGGATGTCGCCATATGCACCAAAGTCAAGCTTAGCGTCTCGACACGTCTTTCATCATTTTGTGTCCGGTGACGTGGCGTACTGTGAGTGGATAATGGCTGAGTCACTTGTCTAAATACTCGACACGTTTCAGGGTCTTGCTTTATCAGCTTCCGAGTCTTGTAAGGCAACAAATTACTCGAGTGCTGGTTTCTCTCTTTTTTTTTTCTCCTTTCCTTAAGCAACTTCTGCGTGGTCGCCACGTGGAGTGATTTCAACCGTAGCTTTTTGAAAGAAACGTCGCAGATATTTTTCTTATATTAATTTTATTATTCTTATTTTGGTTAAAACAACGTTTTGAAATTTTGTTTCCCTTTACTGTACTACGAGGTTTTGGAGTTGGGATTTGAAAAGATTTTTGTTTAAATTTTTATGAGTTTCAATGTTACCAAATTACGTTTCAGTTTTGATAAATTTATTACTTTTACTTTAAATTTGAATAATTATTGCCATTTTTACTCTTTTTGAATTATTTCCATTTGAAAGGTTTAATTGAAAATTTAAAAAAAAAATATATTTTATGTTTAGTATGAAACTAGTGATATCTAATAGAAAAGCAATGTTAAAATGTAGGCATTTCAAAATTAAACTAATAATTAATTTATGCCCCATGACTACCTTTTGCATAAGTTGGTTTCAATGGATAAACCATTCCTTTTCCCTGAACTACTACGGTTGAAAACTGTGTATATAGAAAAGCAATTTAATTATTTTATTTTCCACACTATGAAAACCACTAGTTGATGTAGCTTGTTTTTAATTTATTGGGAAAGTTGTGACATAGTTCAGTATATATCATATAGTTTAGTAAACTTTTTTATCAAACAAGATATTGACATCATTCCTACTAGAATCTGATGCATTTTATTTTTTGTTTTTTATTTTTAGCATCTTGTAATTACAAGAAGTAGGATGTATGAACTTAAACCTACTGGATACTGTCGGGGTGTTTGTGGCTCTAAAATTCTTACTCTTCACACATCTTTTGCCCCATATAGATTCCAAGAAATCTTAGCTTGTCTTGGATTATGTTGACCAAACTTAGTTAAACAAAACTTCAACCTCCTGTGCAGCACAAAAATCCAAATAGTATAAAGAACATCAAATTCTTTCTCATGCCTTGTTAAAGAGCTTGGCCAGGTGGGTTGTTGATAATGAATGAGGAATAGGGCTTGATGTCATTAGTTGAGGTAATAGTGTGTAATCGTACAGTTCCCTGGCTTTCATTTTCACAAGGCCGTGCCTCCTCTTCTCTTCAATATTCCACCCTCCAATTGTCCTCTCCTGAGAGAGAGACAGAGAGTGACGCCTGTTTTTATCCGTATTAGGCGGTTTGGGTTTGAGTTGTGATAAATTCGGATCACTTATCCTGTTTTTGCTTTGGGGGTAAGATTTCTGAACACAACCAATCTGAAACTTCAGAGTGGCAAAACCAATGTTATCCCAAACGAAGTCAAATTTGTGTGCTGGAGACGACATGCAATAAAAAACTGCCACTTCAAAACCCCTCCCCTCACTTCATCTACAATACCCCCAGAGGATTGGATTAAGCTTCATGGCGTAAAGAGGGAGGCATTGTCATTTTTGGGCTTACATCTCTTTTGGTTTTCTACCCGTCTGTCTAGGATTAATCGGTAGAGAGTAATAATGTTACCCATCCGTACTTGACAACCATTCAGTTCATCTCCATTTCCCTGTCATTTTTGTTGTTTGGTTGTTTGCTCCTTCCTCTTATCTTCATATGCTCTTTTTAGCATTCTGCACCTCTCTCCAACAACTTTTTATTTTGGAAAATGTGTTGATGGCAAAGCGGTATAAAGATTTATATATTGTTTGGTAAAGAGGTGGTCGATATGGTTTAAGAAAGGACGTTTGTTATGAGAAGTTGTGAAAGTCCAGAAAATTGTATAGAGTTTTGAGATGGGGTTGAGTTGTTTCAAACAAATTAGTGCATGGACCTTCTTATAGCTCAAACTCCTGAAGAAATCAAACGAAGCCTAGCTAATTTAGTTCAAACACGTGTCCTTAAGCAAAGGTTCGAATTTCTTTACCAATCACCCCATATGTTGATTAGATTAGTGGAAGACCCAAATCAAAACCAAACTCATAAAAACTAAACTTGTACTCAAAAGTGAGCAATCTTCTATTAGATAAGTAAATGACTCGCAATTATTTTGGCCCAAATAAGACACTCGTGATAAACTAGTCTACAACATACTTTATAAACCTCGTACAAGCCTTATTAAATTTTTAAATTTATTTAATTCATGTTTTTGTTTTATAGGCACTTATATTTGTTAGGGTATCCAATTGGTCTTTTGATACACTTATTCAAACATATTTCTATTAAAATTTTATTTTTGGAAGAGGAAGATATATATATATATATATCTGGAATAAATAAAGAAATGTTACGGATTTTTTTTTGTTAGCTGAATTTCAATTTACTAGTTATTTTGGATTATTAGATGGCCAATAATTAGTTTAGCATGAACTCATCTGATTACCATTTTAAATTGAATAACCTTCCTTTTTTTTCTTTTCTTTTTTTTTTTTTTTTTTGGACTTGTTTGATGGATCAATATTTTCAAATTGAACTGGTTCCCCCTTTGTCCTTTGGGCTGTGAACAAAAAGGGCTTTGTTTGGGTGGGTAGTGAGAGAGTCATTGATACTGGAAATGGAATAGTTAGAAAATCTGAGGTTTTATTTAAATATCACCAAAGTTAAACAATGTTAATTTCCAAATTTAAATGTGCGTAAATGAGGCATGAATTAGGATATTTGTAGCCTGCTAATGAAAATTCACATGAAATGATTGGTAGTTTTTGGGAGGCCATGGCTTTTTCAGAAAAATCTACTCAACAGAAATGGTGAAAGCCTATGACCCAGCCTTGTATGTGTGTGCTGCTGATTCATTTTGCAGAGATCACGTGGTGTGATTCCACTCTCAAACCTACAACTACACCCTGGTACGCTCCCAAACCAATCACTCCCCAATTTTAAATAAATATATATTCCTATTGATGAATAACAACTTATCTCCATGATCATTGTTGTGAATTTGAAGAAAGAATTTTGTTATATTCTTTTCTGGAAGGACTATTGAAGGTTTTGACTAACACTAACACAGTGAGATAAGTTAAGGATATTTTATCGTGTGAAAAAAAAAATGCATATTTAGGTATGTGTGTAAACGATCATGAGAGAGGGGAAAGAAAAAGGAGGTAATTATGATTCAAAACACAAATATAATTCCCGAAAGATTTTTTTTCAAAGGAAATAAAACCGACCCACGTGATAAGGGAAAGATAAAAATTCAAGACTTTTTTGAAGTTTTGAATTCCAAAACTCCCTTTTGAGTGGTTTGACAGAATGGAAGGGCATCTGATTTGAGGAGGCCATGGCTTGTCTCTGTCAACCCATAAAGAAAAAGAAGAGGTGGGGGGGAAGAGGAAGAGGAAGAGGAAGACCTTGTGTTGTTTGCCTTTGGTGGATTATTATTTAATTCAAACCCAGATTTCCCTTCATCATCATCTCATCAACAATGTGCCTTTCAATCATCATCATCACTCTTTCTTTCTTTTTTCCTTTGTTGTTATACTCGGGTTTATCATATTTAATAATTCAGTTAAAGTAGAAGATTAAGATTCACGGGTTGGGTTGAAAAATAAAAGAAAGGGACATCGAATTGTATTGTATAATACAGAGATGAATTGGGAAATGGTTGAAGGGTGTGTCAGTTTGGGCAACTTTGGATGAGACAGTGGTAGGAAAGCGAGTGTAGACCCTCCTCTGTCGTTTTGACCTCCTCTCACTCTCTCTTTCTCTCTCTGCGGAGTAAACATTTGCAAGAGTAAGAGAGACAAACCCATTTTAAAAGTTGGAAAGGAAGAGAGAGTGAGAGAGAGTTAGGGTTATGTTCATGTTTATGTCTGTCTCTCTCTCTCTCTCTCTCTCTCTCTCTCTTCTGAGGTGGTGAGGGCCATTTGTCGGTCATCTCCTCGAATTCCTCGCACTGTCTAAAAAGTTAAACACGGCATACGAGGGTCCCTCATTTTCATACACATTCAGAAAAAACTTTTTCAAAATTTCCTTTTTTATGGGTTTAATTAAAAACCCAAACGGGGAATTCAAAAATTGAATGAGATTGATAACAAAAAGTGGACAAAAATATTTAATGGGAATTGGATTATCGGGCAGCTCAATAACTCAACCACTCCTCTGACTTCTCTTCCTCCTTTACTTTTTGATTCCCTTTCTAAATACATTAATTGTATGTCCGTTCTCTCTTCCCTTTTCCCCTCTCTCTCTGGATTTCAATCGTTTCGTCATGTCCGTATCACCACAATCCATCCAACGGTCTCTATTAATCGAAAGTTTACACCTTTCGCTTCTCCACCAATGATCATTCCAACCCATCAATCTCTAAATCTTGAAACAGAAGTTTTCAATAATGTGGTTGTCATTGCTTTTGGAAAAATTTACCCATGGCTAAAGTACCCTGGAAGCCCATCTTTATGAATCCGGACCACAGTCGCAGCATGGGCAAGCATGTCCAGGTCGGCCACAGCTTGACCCGAGGACTTCAGCCTGACCAAGTTTTATATTACTCGTTGGTAGAAGCATTTAAGTGTTACACATAGCACCATACTGATACACGAGATATTATGCCAATTCCAAATACATGGGATCGGACCTCTCTTGCAAATCCATTCTCAATCTGTTTGGTTAGATTTACGCATAAATGGTGATTATTAATTAATGATGGTTAAGTGCAAATTGTAGATCTGTATGTGTCTTTTAGAACCGTTGGATATGAAATTGAAAACGGGGTTGGAAGAGAGAGGGTGCATGGGGTCGTGGTCATGTCTAGAAGTGAAAAGTGAGGCCCAGGTGGTGGGTCTAAGTCCACCCCCATGTTTTTGTCTTTTACAGCGTTGCCTTTTCACTCCTTTTTTTCCTCTTCTTATAACCCTTCCAAACGCACAACCCTTTCTCACTTTCATAATTATCAAAAAAAAAAATCTCTCTCTCTCTCTCTCTCTCTCTCTGACTCGTTCTTTCTCATCCCCCTTGAAGAGGGGCGAAACTCTAGGGGGAGAGAGATAAGGGGGAAAAAAAAAAAGATAACCCAGAGCCAAATATTATTGCTCGAGGGTTTTAGAGCTTTTTTAAGGGTACGAAGATCTGAAGAAAAAATGGAGGTTTTTTTATTTTATTTTGAGGGGAATGTTGTCTGGCTCGAGGACAATTCTTTTGATCCATTTTTATTTCTCTTTGATTTTATTTTTCGGTTATAATTTGGTTCATTATTGTCGTCGGACCAGGCTTCATTCCCCCCAATTGCTTGTCTCCATTCCTGATCCACTCTCTCAAATGCTGCTGGTTTGCCGATCAAACAAGGTTTAATCTTTCCCTTCTTTTTAGTTCATTCCCCATTTTGGTTTTGTGGGTTGTTGATATAATTTAATGCTCTCGCTGTTAAATCACCAGGTGTTGATCTTTCTTTCAGCAATTAATTGTGTTAAGATTGTGTTAGTTATGTTGAGTGGAGATCTGATGGCTATAATGATGGAGTTATTTGACTGTTCTTCTTCTTCCTCTTTTCTTTTTTTTTCTTTTTTTTTTTTTAATCTTTTTCTAATTGAGCTATGATGGTGTTTTGTTGTCAGTCTAGACCCTTTCTCTCTACAATTATTACACAGATTTCCCTCATGATGGCTTTGAGTATCCCATCTGTCTCTTTCTGCCATTTTCTCAGATCTCTCCTCTTAAAATTTCCCCAACATTGTCTCACCATTTCTCACTTTTTTTTTTCCCCCCTCTCTTTCTCTCTCTGATTTCTCTTCTTTCAGCTTCTTCTTCTACTCCTGCTTGATGTTTGGCCCCAACATTATATTTTTTCTAAAAAAAATGTCCATCTTTTAACCCATATTTTTGTCTTCCATTTGGGTTTTCACAGTACAAATGCAAAGATTATTTATCTTTTTTTCCGCCCCACACTTACATTTTAAGTTGACAACATGAACTCCACATTATTAGCTGGTGTTTGTTTTGAGCTTCTATCTCTGTTTGTTTGCTCCTTTCCCGCTTAGTGTTATCCTTTACTAGATTAGATTGATTTTCTCATCTAACTGCCAACTGCTATAAGCTAAGTTCTACTTCTCTTTTGAGGGTTATTTATACATATTACATTCAAGCAAAATATTAGAGGCTAGCTCTTGCATTTTTGCAAGGGAAAAAAGAATCCCATTTGACGAAATAACTGAATCTTGAATTTATTATTTCTTGACCTTATTCGCTACTCATTTTATCATCATTTTTGTGTGCTTACCAGTTCTCCGCCGCTCTATGTTTTGACCATATAAAGAGGTTGCTAGAGAGAGGAAGAGAGTCCAAATGTTTTAACTTTGAAGTTTTAATCCAGGTTCCTCAAGTCTAAGCTTCTTATATTATAGTTTCTTTTGGGATTTTAAGAAGTAATGCATTAGGAAGCAAGATTATTATTATCCTTTTCATTGCTTACAGAAGAAAAAAACATTTTGTTGATTCAAACTTGTTTCTTTTAAAGTGAAGTGTTGAAAAGAAGAGTAAAAAGTAAATGCTGTCTGATTAAAGAAGTAAAGGCCTCTTTTTGACTCTTATTTAGGTATCTAACTTTTAATGGCATTGTTTGATCCCCACACGCATACATAAAGCCTTTGCTTTCTTTAAAAAAAAAAAAAAATGAAATGATTAACCCACAAATCATGCATTGTTGAGTGCGAGCCACATCGATGGTCCAAAAATTAAAAAGTTACGTGGTTTATGTGTGTTTTTTTTATCTGAAAGAAAGCAAAGACTCGACTTGCCAAACGATGAACGGTTTGAAGCTTTTCATAGCTTTGTCTCTTGATGTCATATAAATCTCCGAAGCCTTCATTGGATACATGTAATTTTGAACGACGACCCAGCAGGTAAATCAGCATAAAATTATGCTTTTTTGGCACTGATTTGATTTGTGGTGGGAATCCATGGATGAACATGAAGGAAGCAGTTTGAATTTGAAAAACGGCATTTTGGTTCATATATTTTGCTGGATTTTATTTTATGGTTTTCAATGACTGGAAAGAGACAGACATTAGTTGTTGACTTTGAAGTGGATTGTTTTTGTTTTTGGTACTATTTGGGTTTTGAAGATGATGAGAGAGAGAGTTCATTGAAAAGGTAAAAAGTCAAATTTTGAAGTTGTAGGACTATGTGCTGTAGGTACCCTTCTCCAACAAAAAAAAGTCTGCAGGCCGCCCCCTCTCACCCTCTCAGGAGGGGTAGAATTGTCTTTGGAAATTTGTGACTCCAATAAAAAAAAAAATAAAAAAAAAGGTTTTTTTTTTTTAACTTTTTAAAAGGCTGTTTTTCTCGTACATTTCTTTTGACTATTAGTGCTTAGTAATAAAACACTTTGGATTTAGGAAAATAAATAAATTTCAAGAGTTGGACTGGACCTTTAGCTGGTCCAATTATCCTGATTAATTGGGCCCGGCCCAACATCTGACCCATTATTAGCCCAAAATGGTCAGAAGCTTATGATTATTCTTCTCTGTTGTTTTTGGATAAGATTATGTCCATTACTAAAGTAAAGATTATTTTATTTTATTAGAAGCCCCTAAGCAGCAATCGCAACAAATTTGCAATTCCAAATAGCAGTAACAAAGTAAAATAGAGACAAAACAAGGAATCCATAGTTTTCAAGAAGCACCATTATTGTTCTTTTCCTAATTATTGCCTTTTCTTTTCTTTTGTTTCTAATTTTTACCACCAACAGACAGTCTCTTAACAAAATCTATTAGTCTTAATTACTTCTTTTTCTCAAATAAAAAAGCAAAAAAAGAAAGAAAAATGGTATAAATAGGAAATGAAAGAAGTGGATGCCTTTGGGGGAACCCACACGCCCACACCCGCTTCCACTTAATTTCCTATATAACCAAACCCTAATTCCCCTGTGTTTCTCTCTCTGTGATGCAACGTAATGTAATTAACACACAACTCAACTCAGGCATGGCCATTCCCCATGTCTCTCCAAATTCCGCCTCCTCTCTTTCTCTCCTAATTCCCCATGCCTCTCCCTCTCATCCCTGCCCTCTCCCCCTCTGAATTTCCATCTCTCCCACTCCCCTTTCCCTTTCTCCCTTCCCATACCAACTAGCACACCTTATTATCGCCCTGGGGATGCCCGGTGGAGACAGACGTCGCCTGCACTCCGGCGCCGCCGTCCCCAAAGGCTGCTTGGCGGTCAGAGTGGGGCAGAAGGAGGAAGAGCAGCAGAGATTTGTGGTGCCGGTTATGTACTTCAATCACCCGCGCTTCATGCAACTTCTCAAAGAGGCGGAGGAGGAGTACGGGTTCGATCAGAAGGGGACCATCGCCATTCCTTGCCACGTCGAGGAGTTCCGCCACGTCCAGGGCATGATTGACCGTGAAAATTCATTCCACCGCCGTCACCACCACCACCACCACGTCGGTTGCTTTCGGGTTTCATTCTGATCATCGAATAAATTCCAGACTGTAAATTTTTGGTTGTTTTAAGATCCTTTTTCGGAATCGCAGTGTATAATCCATCGTAACCCAATCTATATATCAATATCAAAATTGCATTTGCTTGTTTAAATCCCATTTTAATTTCACGCGATAGTTTTCCTTTTGGAAGAAAATTGTTTATTTTTTTTTGAATAAAACTTGGAAAAGCTGCACACACTCGGTACAAGATTCCAATGGAACAAACCTCTTTTTGTTAATTAAAAAGATGATTCGGTTGTTCCTTACTAAAACAATTTGAGCATTGTTAAATTGCAAATTGCTTTTTGTCATTTCAATTTTCATTCAAAAGGTTCGAAACGAATCATAACTTTTTTCTTGTGGAAAATAATGTGAAATTTTGATCTAGTAGCTAGATTTCGATTGAGAGTGATATATATATATATATTTTTCAATTCGACTGCGAAAAATTGTCTGGTTATGAATTGTAAAGCAATGTTCCTGGTAGCAACAGATGTAGAGAAACATTAGAAGTCTCAAATATGTGGCGAAATTCAATTGAGTTATGATATGAACGTTAAATGATTTGGTTTGTGAAAATATGAAAAATAAAATTTGGGCCATTATATGTATGAAGCCCAGCCCACAACCAACTCCTAACAACCACAATAATTATAATTATACATAAAGCTTGGATTTTAGTTGTTGTGGCTAAGGCATGAACATAATAAAACCATCCAACCATTCCGCCATCTCTCTGAAATTCAACAACCGGTGTATGTCCTCTCTCTCTCTCTCTCTCTCGTTTTCCATTTTAAATGAACAGGATTCTCGACCCTAAATGAACATTATTGGTGTGTATAAAATGTAGAATATAATCCACTTACAATTCCAAAATGCAGGTAAATTTACGAATTTGGAGAGGGAGCGCACAAGGGGCACCGTGCGTTCAACATCATGCGGTGGCGGAGGACTGACAGGTAACTGTGTTGGCCCGCTTCACGTGTCTATATCATTTTATATTTAATGTCATGTGTCTACTGATTGCTACTCTACCCCCACTTCCCATTTTATTAAACATTTTAATTAAAGTTACTTTCCTACAAAACAAACTAATCAACCCTCTCTTTTTATCATACCCTTAATTCTTTTTCGTAATTACATTTTTTTCAAACTTACGATATTGTTCCTTTAAGTGGAATGATTATAAAGCTTCGGTTAATTAATTGATGAGTAATGGTAGTTGCGGGGGTAAAATCAGGGCTTTGGCGTTGGGAACAATGGAAGGGTCCAAAAGGACCACAACCCCATGTGCCCCTGTCACTCTCATTAACCATTCATAATTACACACATTATTTCCTAATAAATCCAAATCCCCTTTTTACCACACAAATTCCCCCTCCCCCTTTCATATCCACTCTGCATTTCCCCCCTTAATGTAATCTCTTATTCTAAACTTCCATGCCCAAATTCAGCTTCAAATTTCATACCTTGCTTGAAATTCAGCTTCAATTTTATTAAAGAGATGTGAAATATATAATCATCTCGTTAAGATAGGAAACAAGATTCAAATTTTGTTAGAGTAATTCTAAAGGGGGTTTGAGAAGAGGGTATCCAAGTGGAGGGTATACAAATGGAGTAATCGGTAGAAAGGCATTGATGAGACAGCCAACAGGTTTGCACTTGGGGGAGTGTCTAGCGGCAAAAATCAAAGACACATGAGAAGTGGCAATGATTTGAACCAAAAAGGGTCCCACTTCCAAACGCTGCTGCTCTCTATCTTTCTTCCCCTCCATTTCCATGTCCATTTCCACCCTGTAATGTATACCAAAAACAGGGATAAAGCTTCCAAAACTTAATCACACCAACAAAATTTAACAAATTCCACACTCATTTGCAAACCACTTGTCTTTATTCCCCTTTCCTCTCTTCTCTCTCCCTCTACCCCCCCACCCATTACATCTTTTTTGTTCATTCATCCATCTATCCATCATCATCCTCTTCCTCTCCGCCTCCCCTTCCCCCCCAACCAAATCAAACCCTCTTCTCTCAACAAACCAAACACAACCCACAATTTGTTTTCAAGCAACTATCACAGATGACTCGCTTATTTCGATCCAAATCGTGCGGACACGCCAGAGTTCCGGAATTTAAGCCGCCTCCTCCACCGCCGAGCTCTTATTATGATAGTGACGACGAGGAGGAGGAAGAAGAAGACGAGGAGGAGGAGGAGGAGGAAGAAGAGGACGATTACTATGGAGATGGGGTAAATGAAAATGGGTATGCCTTGGTTTTGACGAATTCGGTCTCTGATAGTGACGAGGACAAGCAGGAGGGAGCTACGCCGCATAGTAATAATGGGAGTCAGTTTCCGATACTCGACATTTTGGTGACGGCACTGAGGAAATCCTTGGTTTGCAGTGTGGAAACGGATGAAGTTTGTTCCATGGATATTAGCTCGCCGGTGAATGTGAGGCATGTTTCTCATGTTACGTTTGATAGGTTCAATGGGTTTCTGGGTTTGCCTTCAGAATTCGAGCCTGAGGTGCCAACCAGAGTGCCTAGCGCCAGGTGAGCTCTTTTGTGAAATTCGTTTCTTGTCCGCAAAGAATTCGGATTACTGTTTTTGGAAATGGGATTGTGGTTAAATTGGAAATGAGTTACTCTTTTAGCTGTTTGAAGGAGTTCTGAAAACTTTGGTCAAATTGAAGGCAAAAACGGGGAAATCCAAGAGGGGAACTCATAGTTTACTGACTTTCATTGATTTTCGTGGATTGCCCATTCTTTTTCTTTGTATTGAAATCATTTGGAAGCTTTGAATTTTAGGTTTCATGTTTCGCATTTCACTTTTACCATATGTCATATCTCTGTCTCTCGAGGTTTCTTGAAATACGTGCGATCTCAAAGGTAGATGTGAAGCTGCAACTTTTGAGGGACCACGACAGGCGATGTTTGGAAGGCATTCCAAAATTCCAAAGAGGGCCGGTTGCTTTAGAATGCCTTTCCTCAAACATAGAATTTGCTTTGCACAACCTTTTAGTTGAATAAGTTCCAGCACTACAACCAGGACACGGAATGTCCATGTGTTGTGTTTCTCTCTCTCAATGTTTATCATGTATGACATCCAAAGAATCCTTGGCTTTCTGAGCTTGGTTTTACTGAGGAGGGGAATGATATTCAACTTTCTTTGGATTATGAGACCTTATATGCAAAATTTTGAACACTTGTAGTGAGATATGGGGAAAGTGGATTGGCTGTTAATGTTGGTTCACTGATAAGGAGTTTCGAGCAAGAGTAAGAGCAATTCATGAAGGATGGATGCTTCTAATTCAAATAGGACACCTATTTCAACTTAAACATTGCTAATTCAATTTGAAATCTGTTTACTTCCCTCTATGTTAAGTAATTACTCATAATTCTCAATTGCATGCTTGTGATCCAGTGCTAGCGTATTCGGAGTTTCTGCGAACTCAATGCAGTGTTCTTTCGATGATAGAGGAAATAGTGTGCCAACAATCCTTCTTATGATGCAAAAACGGCTGTATTCAGAGGGAGGTCTAAAGGTGTGTATCCATCACCCTTGGTACAATAATCTAGCTTTTGCTGACTTCACTATTCCAAAACTTTTAACTATTTTTTTTTTTTTTGTCACTTTTGAAGGCAGAAGGAATATTTCGAATAAATGCTGAGAATAGTCAGGAAGAGTTTGTTCGAACTCAACTAAACAGTGGCGTAGTGCCACGAGGCATCGATGTTCACTGTTTAGCAGGCTTGATCAAGGTATTTTCATAGTTAAGCTTTTAACTGATATCATCAACCTTCCTTTGTTGTTTACTCCCAAATTTGGATCTGCGAAGCAAATTGATATTCATGGCTTCTTGTTTTTATCATTTTTTTTATGATCTTATTAGAGGTAGTTTTTGTGTCATCTACAGGCATGGCTTAGAGAGCTCCCTACAGGGGTGCTTGATACACTAACCCCCGAACAAGTGATGCATTGCAACACAGAGGAAGACTGCACTCAACTTGTTAAGCTACTCCCTCCCATGGAATCTGCTATCCTTGACTGGGCTATCAATTTGATGGCAGATGTTGTGCAACAGGAGACGCACAACAAGATGAATGCACGCAACATTGCTATGGTTTTTGCACCAAACATGACTCAGGTGTGTGTGTGTGCGCGCGCGTGTGGCGGGGTTGATGATAATCTCTTTCTAGTAGGCTAGCAATATCACAAATACAGCTACTACTCTAATGAACTAAAAAGCAATTCTGTGAATTTGGTGCAGATGGCTGATCCTTTGACTGCACTAATTCATGCTGTACAAGTAATGAATTTGTTGAAGACCCTTATTCTTCAGATCCTCCAAGAAAGGGAAGAGTCAGAAGGCAAGCAGCCGTCCTCTTGCTTGGATACTCCTGATCCCAAGGTCAATACGACATCTTCGAACTCAACCAGTGGCACATCCACCAAGCAACCGCCAAATTCGGTTGCGAACGCCGCAAGTTTCGATAGAGTTGACTACAGTTCTGGAGGGAAATTTGAAAGCTTTGAAGAGAAAGAAGAAGAAGAAGAAGAAGAAGAAGAAGAAGAAGAAGAAGAAGAAGAAGAAGAAGAAGAAGAAGAACAATACCATTCGGCCTCTGGAAGAAGTACACCGATTCGATACGGAGTCGGGGGATTACACAGCAGGTGCAGAGAAGGAGGATATGAAACAAGTGAGTGGCAAAGTCTGAGAAAAGGGGTGAGGAAGCTATGCAGGCACCCTGTGTTTCAGCTGAGCAAGTCGAGCAAGAAGAGTAGAAGTTTTGGAGTTGTGAGTTGTAAGTATTAGGAAATGGGGAAGAAAGTGAGTGGATTGCTTGTGCTTGTAGTGGGGTTTGTGTAAACAATACAGATGCGAGTGCTTGATTATATAATATAACCCTTCCCAACTTCATTAATTTCAAATCTTCCTTTCTTTTTACAGCTTTAGAGGAAGAAAACCTTTATACTCTCTTCTCTTCTCCTTCTAACATCTTTCTGCTTCATTCCAAAACCATTCCTTTCTTTTAATAACTATCACCTATGATTGAATCAATTAGGGTTGTCGAACTTTTGCGAATCTAAACCTAATTTTAAGCCCTACAAACTGAGAAACAATAGAACCAGTCGAATTGAGTCTCAAATGCTACGCAAATTTAGCTAATTTCCCCACCTGAACACGCTTCGATCTCTTCCCGCTGGTGGGGGCTCTGCAAATCTCGTCGGAACTTTATTTCTTCTTTAATTTCTCCAGAGGAAGTTCTACTCTATTGCTAATCAAGGGACGGAGTTAAATCTGGCGTCCGATATCTGGAAGCGACTTTTCGCTCCAAGAAGCAGAAGATCTGCTCCAATTGTTCCGATTCTTCGCCTTGGTCGGCAATTCAATCAAAGAATGGAAGTTATCAACCCCTTCAAGCTCTGTTCGGGCCTCAAGTTCCTTGGCTACTTCATGATTGTCTTGGTTTTCGCCATTATTGCAGTGTCCTACGATGCGGTTGTAGTGCTCACCTGGGGTCCCAAATTACTCGTCGGCGGCTTCGACTCCTTCCTCGCGTTCTCTATCATCATTTTGTTTCATGTTCTGGTACTGATTCTATACACTTTGAATTTTTGGGTTATTCTACTAGAATTTCAGTTTTCATTTGGAGTATTTAACTTCAAACGAGTCTAAGTGCCTTAGAGGTGAACTGTTCGCGTTTGTTGAACTTAGTTGTGCATCCATTAAATAGTCGAGTCCAAGCTGGTTGCATTTCGTAGTCTGTTTTCATCTTTAGGATTTTCCGCTGTAGAAGCCTCTACAAATGGGATCATACATTTTCAGTTAGATGCACAATGATGCTTATTCTGATGGGCGGAACTTTGACATTGAGGCAAACTGTGTGAACTCTGCAGCTTTTACTCTTGTCGTGGAGCTACGTTATGGTACTCCTTGAAGATCCTGGTTCCGTACCGGACAATTGGACATTGGCAAGTGAAGCAGAGAATATGGAGGCTGGTAGTTCGTCATTGCCGGAACAGGCACCAATGGATTTAGATGGTGCCGGGAGAAGACCTACGACCTATTGTCGTCGATGCCAAAATGGAAAACCACCACGTTGTCATCATTGCTCCGTTTGTATGCTACTCAACTCCAACACTATTCCTGCATCTCTTTATTTGTTCACACCACCCCATGGATTCTATTTATTTCTCTCGATTTATTTATGAATGTTACTTCACTCTTAATGTTTACTTTTACAATTATTGAAGGTACTTAAATGTTGCTATAATGATCTGTAGGTCAAAGATGTGTTCTTAAGATGGATCATCATTGTATTTGGGTGGTTAATTGTGTTGGAGCTCGAAACTACAAATTCTTTCTTCTTTTCTTGGTAAAATCTCAACCCACCTCCTGGCTGTTGGCTACAGACTTTTTTTATTTTTGTCTTAGTACGTGAGAAACATAGTCCACTTTTTTCGTACCCTTTTCTGTAGCATGGAAAACCCATGGAAATATGGAAGTAGAGTTATTGGTTTAAGTTACATTTTACTGAACTCAGCATCTTAAGGTTGTTGTCTTTGGAATGTGCACAGAATATGGAGTAGTTGCATTGGTCAAGATAGATTGTTTATTGATGTCACATGTAACTCCTTGGAGATGGTTAATTGGTTATTTATTCTTTCGTAAGATTGCCAGAAGAAGATCGAGATAATCTTTAAATGAAACAGGCATATGAAATTGCTTCGTCTTCTATTTTGTGATTTCCTTTCTTGATAGATTTCTCTCATATTTATAATCAATGTGTTATACAAGACTTGGCTTGGATTATAAAGCTTGTGGCAAATTATATTGTATATATGTATGTATGTGTGTTATTTTGTATATATATATATATCTGAGTGAAATCTCTTTGTTAACCTACTTGCCCCCTGCTTCCCCCCCCAAGCTTTACACATTCTTGGAGACAACAATGGATACACTTGTTTTGCTGCCTAGTTTTATCAAATTTTTTGATGAAGCCAAGAGCCACACCGGTTCTTCTCCTGCCAATCTTGTAATCCTTTTTTTAGCTTTTGGTAAGAAACTCAGCTGGTTTACAGTTTATGTTTCTATAATATTAAACTTAACCCTTCCACTTTCCAACATTTTTTATGTGTCTTTACCTTGATGCAGTTCTTAATTTAGCCTTCGCACTCAGTCTTCTTTGTTTCGTAGTTATGCATGCATCTCTCCTGATGAGTAACACAACATCAGTTGAGGTAATGAGGTTTAAGTCTTCACTTGTTTTTTATTTCTCTTTAATTGTTCTGCTTCATATTGGATTATCAATTTTTCCTCCAGGCCCCAGCTGGTGGTTGCTGTTTTAACCTCATTTATTCCTCTATCATTCTCTATTTTGTTACTCTTTTCCCACAAGTACAAGATGTCTGTTACTTGGTGGAAATAGAATGGCTGGATTATTAGTCACAAATAAGATAAAGAACATTCTTATTACATTCTTTCAAGCGCGCATCATTGTAACCTCAAATTTAAGTAAACCATTATACTAATTTCAGTCGGTGGTTATGGAGACCTGCATGTCTTATTTAGCTCTGGAGATACCAGTCTTCCCTTTTTACTTGCAAAGGTGCTCATTCACTATTACATTTTCAGGTTCACGAGAAGAGAAGAGCAAGTCAATGGAAGTATGACCTAGGAAAGAAGAAAAATTTTGAGCAGGTAATACACATTTGCATATGCCATCTTGAATTGTTCCCTCACTAATATATAATAATTTTCAGATCTGTAGGATTAAGAATCATCTTATATGTTTGTTGTGAAAATATTTCTACTTCTATTTGTTTGCTACGATTTTATATAATTTGGGGAAAGCATAGTTTTACGTCCCTTGCTGAATCGGGAGGCAGCAGTTTGTGATGGAAAGAGAAACGGACATATTACTGGTTTCCTCTGTGAAGAGGGGGGAAAGAAAAAACAAGACACCACAATGTTATTCTGGGATTTTATTTGAACTCGATGCCTCTGAATACATTTGTTGCATCCCTTCGTGGAAATTTGTCCCTATATCTGCTACAATGACAGAATCTAGTCTCATATTTAGATCTTATATTGATGTTGTGTCTCGTGTTCTTTTCTCCATTAAGGTATTCGGGACAAAGGCAGCACTTTGGCTTTTCCCATTGTTTTCGAAGGAGGATTTGGAGAAAATTCCTGCACTTCGAGGCTTGGAATTCCCAACTCGTTCTGATATGGAGGCTTGACACCTTTTCCTTTTACTCCACTCAGTGTAATGTATAGTCTTAATTTCATTTAAACAATCACGCATGAAATCTTGTTCTATGTATGGCTTTCTTTGGGTGTGTCGATTTGTAAATTTGACATTCTTTCAGAGAAGATGTAGTTTTTTCGCATATATGAGCCTTTCATGATCTTTCTGGGGAAATCAAGTTTTTTCTCGTAATTGCATGTACTGATATTCATGTTTTGGGAGATACTAATTCATCAGCCAAAAATAATTGTAAACTCTGATTGCAAAATTTTCTTGCTTTAAAATTCCTATTTGCATATAAAAAAGAAAAAAGAAAAAAACTTCTCATTATATAATTGTAACATGTAAATCTTGGTCAAATGATGACATCTAGGGCAGGCGGGTCCCTTTGAAACCAAATAGAACAGGCCTTAGAGGAGACAAGCCTCCCTAGAGATTGGTGGAGGTGGAGCCCCCAACCCCCCCCCCAAAAAAAAAGTGTAAAATCTTGATCATCATATAATTTCAGGTGGCCCATCGTGATCCAAGGATGAAACTAAAGAAGAAGAATTTGTGTCCATGGAAGTGCAGAAACTGGAGATGGAAACAGAGATCAAAACGAAGATGGGAGCAATCATCAAAACAAGGCTAAAAGGTACCATCCACTGTTGCTTCTGTGATCTATGGAACCGAACCGCCCACCAACCCATCAAAACCCCCCCCGACACACTCACCAAAACTAAAACCAGACATGCCCACACAGATTTAAGCCTTCTATTCTTCTGCCTCTTCTGCTCTCCCTCCCCCTTCATCACACCTTCAGTTTCTGTTCCCACCTGCATTTCTCTTGTGCGACAATCGATGGGTAGAAGAAAAACTCACAAATGATCCATTGGAAGAAAACCCAGTTACTCTTATTTGCTAGCTTTAATAGGAAAGACCTGTGTTGTAATTGAAGATATCAGAGAGAGAGAGAGAGAGAGAGAGAGAGAGATTGGGAGAGGGACATTTGGTAGCAAAATAAGAGAGTCGCATTGAGTATAACGTCACGCGTAGCTTATCAAAGTTGGTTTTGTCAATTAAAGGATTATAAATATGGATGAAAGAGAAGGATTGGCACTTGTTGGGAGGGATCATGGCGTAGCTTGTATCTGGGGTAGAGTTTGATTGATTTATTGCCTTTGATGACATTATGTGCCACGGCACCCACCTGTCTACTGCCCCTTCTCTTCTTCATTATTGTTTCTCCTCTCCTGTTCAACCCAACTCCGCCTTCTATTCGTACCTTTAATTACTCTTCATTCATATGTCTGAATCTGAATGCATTTAAGGTTACATTAATTTCTAAAGTCCACTCATAAATGAAAACAAACACATCACTATATGAGAGTAACTAAGCCTCTAATCTAGCATTCTACTTTCCTTCTTATAGTTACAACATTCACTTTTGATTTTCAGGGTTTGTGTTAGATTGCATTTGAGTCACTTGAGATTTTAAACTCCACAATGTACCCTTGAACTTTGCATTTGGTTTCAACAATTTTACCCATAATGTTTGCATCTGGTTTCGTTAGGTCCCTCCATTGTATTTACTACTTTTATTTAATTATTGGAAACATTTGTTTTAATTTAGTTTTTAAATTCCTCTCTCTTCTTTCTCCCTGTCCACTTTTCCATCTTTAGTTGCCATCGTGGGAGCCCCTAAAATTTAACCAAAATGAAACCCAACTTAAATCTTAGAGAGTAAAAGTGTAATTTTTGAGTGAAAGTAGATTAGTCAACTCTTTCAAATGCATCTGCGTCATAGAAGCATTCATTCCAACTCAGCCTTCCCTGGATTCTTACATAAGTTAAAAACCACTTATTTCTTACTCATACTTAGAAAAGGAAACAGCCCAGCTATCACAAAAAAGTCCTCCTTTTGAGACACCCAATTAAAACCTGGACAACCAAAACCCTAAACAGATCAAGACAAGACACTGTCTCTTTCTTCATGCAGGCATGGGAGAAGAACTCATGACACCTCCTTATTTGGATTGGACAGAATAAAATTACAATAGTTTTGTGAAGAACACAACTGGGTTAGCTTCATATCATTATAATATTTGGAAGCTAAGACAGCAGTTTAAGTATAATTATAATCAATCATATCATAATTTATTTTTTTGAACAGAATTTGAGCAAAAAACTTGGCCTTCCTCCTAAGATTCTATTCCACACGCAAGCATGCTTCACTAATCATTTTGTTTTTCTTATCTCACTTTCGTCTCTCAGAAGTTAGCAATTGATATGCAAGCTTTGTTGGAGTAGAGACAATGCAAAATTATGTGGGTTTATGAAACATCAACAGGTCGAAGTTTAAGGGGTTTTCAAACCTGATATTTATCTGATATTTTAAACTCTTTTGCAGGGGGAAACATCTACGGCCTTGTGACCTAAAGCTTGAAAAAGAAGATAAAGGAAGAATTGAGTGTGATGAAAGAGTTACATTATGTGTAGTTGATCATCCAATTTGAACAGATTTTTGGATGGCAGTAGTATTTTGATTTTGATCCATGGAAGTCATCAAAATGGGTTGATCCATGAAAGCAGAGATGAGAAGAGACATGATAACAAATATGGGTGCAGTCATCAAAATAAGACCAAAAGGTACCATCCATAGTTGTCTGTTTGTAGGATGAAAGCGGAACTCCCACCAACCAAACACAACCGCTCCCACCATGCTTGTCACTGCCATTGAAACCACCCAAGTTGCCATCTTACAGCTCTTCATATTCTCCTTCATTGCCGACTCCATTGCAAGTCCAGCTTCTTCTCCACCCCCTGCAAATCCCCATGTTTTTTGACCCATTACACACTAGGCTGTTAACAAGAACTGGATATGACTGAACCAAAAAGAATGAAGAAAAAGAAAACAGAGGGAGAAAGAGATGAGTGCAAAGGGGTTTTGAGGATTTGGCAAGCAAAGCGTGAGATTTTATCAAGGTTTGGAATTAGTATCTGCAATTGGCGTAGGTATCTACGGTTAGATTTTTATTGCCATTTATGCTATAATGTGATTTGATTCATTGTTTCTCACAAATCTGAGATTATCTTTGGAGCCAAGTTTTTTTTGTTTTTTTGTTTTTTTGTTTTTGTAGGTTGAGATGCAAATCCAATGGAGTTATTAGTGGGAGGTGAGGTCTGGTTGAGGCATTATTCCAAAAGCTTGGTGCCTCCAGACTATGGAAAACACCCAGCAGACTTAAACTTAACCAAAATATCATAAACAAACCAACCAACATATTTCTATGAGCGCAACCTGTTTGTTTCACTCTCCAACTTTTACTTCAAAACTTTTTTGAACATTCAATTGTTTTTTAAACTTGTGCTTGAAATTTTATGTTGGATGGTTTATTAAAACTTTTATGAATAGTTTTGATGGCGGAAACTGTTTAAGAAATGTATTAATAGAGTCAACGAATGGAATATTCTTAGAATTAATGAATGGTCAATTTTAAAATCATAACGAAAACAAATGAACAAACTTGAAAGCAAAAGGTGTGGAATTAAAGATGAAAGAAAGAAGCACAGCCACGGAATATTCTCCGTTGGCTCTCCAAAATTGCAATGCCAAGAGGCTAAGCATTGGATTTGGGACGACGACGGACGGACGGACCCACGTTATCCAATACGCCTCTCTTTCTTTCTCTTCGCGCGCTTCATCCCTCCCTTCCATTTCTCTCTCCTTCTCTTCCAATTCCCACCCTTCTTTTTCTGTAATCCAAACGAACTTTTTTTTTTTTTTTTTTTTTTTTTTTTTTNGAGTGTTGTGTTGTTATTTTGTTTGAAATGAGGACAGAATCAACACATTGGAGCTGGGATTTGCAGCGTTCCTGTTCTTGTGTGGTTGCTATGACTTTGTTCATGGGAAGAACTGCTACTTTGTGTACCTATTCCTTCAGACATTCAGCTTTCTGATCACTGGAATTGGCTATGTTGGCACCATCATCCCAAGCTCTTGAGAAGCGAAGACCACTTCCTTTAAAAAAGATTATTCAAATATATATATATATATATATATATGATATATTTAGTAAAGCTGATAATGTTCTACAGAAGGAGTAGCCTGCCTAACTTAGAACAAGAAAGTGGGGTTTCAGGCAATAGTTCAGTTCAGTTCAGTTCAGATAAAAGCCAGCTTCTTGGAAGAACAAGATGAACATGATGAACATGATGAACATGTTGAACATGATGAACAAGAACAGAGAGGTTAGGATTTGAAGAGGAAAAAGGGGAATTGCTATGGGTATTTTCGTCATTTAGAATTTTTTTTTTTTTTTTTTTTTTTGAGATTGTTCCCCCGAGTCTTTAACCGCAAGGGATCAGCAAATTTGGGGTGTTTTTGTTTTCTCCATTTTTATTCTTTTTGCTCTTTTTGTTTTGCCGACGTGGTGGAGAATGAACGTGAAAGCTCCGGCGACGAGGACTCGTGTTGGGAAGTACGAGCTCGGCAAAACCCTCGGCGAAGGCACTTTTGCTAAGGTCAAGTTCGCGAAGAATGTTGAGAATGGTGATTATGTTGCCATCAAGATTCTCGACCGGGAACAAGTTCTTCGCCACAAGATGGTCGAACAGGTATGGTGGTCTTCGTTGTTTTATGGGTTTTTTTTTTTTTTGTTGGTTGTTGATAAGTCAGATCCTTCGAATTGAGAGTTTATTAACGATGACGACGATGATGGCAGATTAAAAGAGAGATATCGACTCTGAAAGTTATAAAGCATCCGAACGTTGCTAAGATTTATGAGGTACCATGATCAATTTACCCTGATTTCATTTCCTTGTACAGTTCGACATTGTTTGTTTTCTTGTATAAATCACAGGTTCACGTACTCTCTCTATGTATTTTTCTAAAAAAAGTGCTTCATTATGCTTCAAGATTAAAATGAATTGGTAAGTTGGGTTACCACTAGTTTGGCATGAAAGGTTATTAGGATAAGCTTGAGTGAGCGTCGGATTGTTGGTATGGACTTCCTTCTCTTGAAAATGTTGAATTGAACGCCGAATATCTAAGATTTAGTATCTTACCAATTTCCTTGGCAAACAAATGTAGTACTTCAAATAACTACCTCATAAGATTAGTCAAGGTATGTATAAGTTGGCCCAGATACTCGTATTAAAAAAAAAAAAAAAATCAATATTCAAAGTCAATGTATGAGATATTGTAGTGGCTTGATTATTATGATGAAAGATACCCTACGTATGGATATACGAAGCCATTGTAATATTAAAATTTGAGTGCGTTCATGGAATTAGTGTTCGATTCTAATGTTTAGTTGCACTGTGACAGTCTTTTTGTTTGCACATTGCTTACCTTCTCTAGATTTAGCTTGGATTGTTGCCACTAGATTTGACCTTTTTTTATATAAGGTATATTCTTTCATTTTTTTTTTTCAATGAAAGCATGGTTTTCATTTTAAAAAAACAGTCTTGGATTCTTTATTTTATCTTATTGTTTTTTATTCTAATCTTCATTTGTAGCTCTTTTGGTTTTGTGTGGCTTTTGCCATTCTTTCCCATTTTCATAGATGATGGCCCCTGTAGTTTTAAATATGCACGTTTTTTTCCCTTGGTATATATCTTAATTAGTCAAAAAGTTATATTTAGCATGTTGTAAGAGATTTTATATTGTTGTCTATGAAAACTTCATTCAAGTTGGTCATTAAAAATTCTGAAGGCAGCAACAAGACCGCATAATTTTACTGGATAACCGGTTACATTGGCTTGGCCTTCACTAAGGTGCTTTGCTTGATGATATAAAATTGTACTTTTTTTACCCAGTTCTTACACTTTATAATGGTACATCTGGAGAAAGATAAATAGTAGTTTTATTTTCCCATTCTTTGTTCATAAAAGAGCAAGGGTATAGATTCGTGTGAAAGACACTTTTCTTTATACATTGTTTTCAATTTTACGGTCAAACAAGTGAGAAGAAAATAAGATACATTTTGGATGCGTGAGTTTGAATTCTCTGTTCATGTTGATAGGTTATGGCAAGCAAATCAAAAATCTACATTGTTCTTGAGTTTGTGGATGGAGGCGAGCTTTTTGACAAAATAGTAAGACAAAGTTGATGAGATTCATATTCATATTTGTATTTTACATCTGTTCTTGGATGTTCTCTATAGATCCTTATCTAAATTTACTTTTATGACAATCTCCTAACCCAAGAGATTCTGTATTAACAGCCATTAGTACACTATTTAGATTTCTTGGACATTTTTATTTTTAGGCCGCAAAGGGAAGGCTCAAAGAGGATGAGGCAAGGAAATATTTCCAGCAACTTATTAACGCTGTAGATTACTGCCATAGTAGAGGAGTGTACCATCGAGATCTGAAGGTATTAACTGATATCCTGATCTTTTTAGAAACTGAACTTAACGTTTTCAATTAAAATGGTGGTGTTTACTTTATTGCTCTGTCTGCTTTTGCAGCCTGAAAATCTTCTTCTGGATTCACATGATGTTCTTAAGGTGTCAGATTTTGGACTGAGTGCATTTTCACAGCAAGTACGAGTGAGTATTACACATTTTTCTAGGGGTTCTTTCAACATTGTTTCTGTCCAGTATTCTGTGTTCTTCCTACAGCTTGATTGTTCTCCATTTGCTGATTACTTCTTATTTTAACTTTAGTTTCTTACCTTGTGAGGAACAAAATTAAATAATGGGAATGATAGTGTAAGTAGGAGATGTTTGAAGCTTCCTCCCTTGAATATTTCTTTGAAAAGAAGTATTATAGTTTACATCAGATGTCTCAAATGTAGATTGAGATTGCTGCTTTCTTTTGGTATCAGATTTCACTCCTTTAGCCATTAGGCATTAGCTTTCTGTTTTATATAATGTCAAGGGATCATCAACACTATTGTTGCAGGGGGATGGTCTTCTTCACACTGCCTGTGGGACCCCAAACTACGTAGCTCCCGAGGTGTGCATATATGCTTCTTATTTCGATTATCCATTTGGGAGGATTTTGTATCTTGGTATCATAATAAAGATTGTGAATTATAATTCTACAAAATGTGTGCTAAGTTTTGCCTTTGATTTTGATATACTACGTCAGGTCTTCAACGATAAAGGTTATGATGGTACATCATCTGATATTTGGTCATGCGGGGTCATTCTCTTTGTTCTTATGGCTGGCTTCTTGCCTTTTGACGAGCCAAATCTGATGTGTTTGTATACAAAAGTTAGTCTTTGTTTTGTTTTGTTTTGTTTTGTTTTTCCTACATATACAGATGCAACTGTTCTCAGAGTACACATGATATGAAATTCAGATTTCGAAGGCTGATTTCTGCTTTCCATCATGGTTCTCAAATGGCGCTAAAAAACTTGTTCGCCGCATTCTTGATCCCCACCCTCTTACCGTAAGTTTATAACTCCTGTTTTAATTTACTCTCATTTTAGGTGTGATCTTCTTTATCTGTTTTTTTTTTTTTTTTTTTTTTTTT